TAAATACAGTAGACTTTCAAAATTGATCAACTAAATCGGGATCACATTCAGTTAAGCGACTTACTGATCACAACAATGTTTCTGTCATATACGGTGGCACAATACTTGATATATGGAGCTTTCATCAATAAGGAGCTTAAAGTTTGAACGATATATCGAGCTCTTCTGATGATGTTAGTGACTGATGAAACTCCATCTTTTTTATTTTGGTTGCAAGTTGGTAAGCTATGACTCATCGAATAATCCGACTTATTTGCAGCAGGTTTATTTTATTCACTTCATTTAATTTCCATTTAGGCACTGTTTGAGTGAATTACAATATGTAATCACAATACTTCATATTTCAAAGTTTACTAACTTGACACTACCATTATGAAAATTCTACGTTGTTTATTGGTGGCTGACAATAAGTAGAAATTAAAATTTCCAAAGTTTAGTGACTTGATTTAAGTTCCTTCTTTGAAGTGGATAAATAAAACACTTTACTAAATGTTTTATGTCCTTGTGAATTATCAAGTCAAACCTTAGTAATGACACCTAAAAACTCATTGGTTTCCACTTTTATTACATGGAAGAAGAGGAAGACCAAAGAACACATTACGTCGAGAAATGGAGACATATATGAGAAGCATGAACAAAACTTGGATAGAACTAGAAAGGAATGCCCAGGACAGAGTGGGTTGAAGAATGCTGGACGGTGGCCTATGCTTATGGGAGTAACAGGCGTAAGTAAGTAAGTAAGTAAGTAAGTAAGTAAGTAAGTAAGTAAGTAAGTAAGTAAGTAAGTAAGTAAGTAAGTAAGTAAGTAAGTAAGTAAGTAAGTAAGTAAGTAAGTAAGTAAGTAAGTAAGTAAGTAAGTAAGTAAGTAAGTAAGTAAGTAAGTAAGTAAGTAAGTAAGTAAGTAAGTAAGTAAGTAAGTAAGTAAGTAAGTAAGTAAGTAAGTAAGTAAGTAAGTAAGTAAGTAAGTAAGTAAGTAAGTAAGTAAGTAAGTAAGTAAGTAAGTAAGTAAGTAAGTAAGTAAGTAAGTAAGTAAGTAAGTAAGTAAGTAAGTAAGTAAGTAAGTAAGTAAGTAAGTAAGTAAGTAAGTAAGTAAGTAAGTAAGTAAGTAAGTAAGTAAGTAAGTAAGTAAGTAAGTAAGTAAGTAAGTAAGTAAGTAAGTAAGTAAGTAAGTAAGTAAGTAAGTAAGTAAGTAAGTAAGTAAGTAAGTAAGTAAGTAAGTAAGTAAGTAAGTAAGTAAGTAAGTAAGTAAGTAAGTAAGTAAGTAAGTAAGTAAGTAAGTAAGTAAGTAAGTAAGTAAGTAAGTAAGTAAGTAAGTAAGTAAGTAAGTAAGTAAGTAAGTAAGTAAGTAAGTAAGTAAGTAAGTAAGTAAGTAAGTAAGTAAGTAAGTAAGTAAGTAAGTAAGTAAGTAAGTAAGTAAGTAAGTAAGTAAGTAAGTAAGTAAGTAAGTAAGTAAGTAAGTAAGTAAGTAAGTAAGTAAGTAAGTAAGTAAGTAAGTAAGTAAGTAAGTAAGTAAGTAAGTAAGTAAGTAAGTAAGTAAGTAAGTAAGTAAGTAAGTAAGTAAGTAAGTAAGTAAGTAAGTAAGTAAGTAAGTAAGTAAGTAAGTAAGTAAGTAAGTAAGTAAGTAAGTAAGTAAGTAAGTAAGTAAGTAAGTAAGTAAGTAAGTAAGTAAGTAAGTAAGTAAGTAAGTAAGTAAGTAAGTAAGTAAGTAAGTAAGTAAGTAAGTAAGTAAGTAAGTAAGTAAGTAAGTAAGTAAGTAAGTAAGTAAGTAAGTAAGTAAGTAAGTAAGTAAGTAAGTAAGTAAGTAAGTAAGTAAGTAAGTAAGTAAGTAAGTAAGTAAGTAAGTAAGTAAGTAAGTAAGTAAGTAAGTAAGTAAGTAAGTAAGTAAGTAAGTAAGTAAGTAAGTAAGTAAGTAAGTAAGTAAGTAAGTAAGTAAGTAAGTAAGTAAGTAAGTAATTTCCTCTTATATTCAAAAATGTACTAATGTTCAACATCTATAGATTCTTAGTTTTCTAGTACATTAAATGACTCTTTAAATTTTTTATTTTTTATATATCCTACCAAAAAGTAGTTAATATCCACAATGTTACATTTATTTGCAGTAAATTTATTTTGTTTAGTTTGAATCTCGGTGATTCCATCTACCCCACGTTTTGTAGATATTTTCATGCTCTTACTCTTTTGATGACATTTTGGCTGCTATAAAAACGTCATAGATAGGTGTACCATACATAAGAGGTGCATTTTTTTACTTATACATATATATGCATGTAAAGTATATTTGTGGATGGAAACTTCCATGCCTATATGTCTTTATGGTGTGTGTAAACTTGTCTATGATTAGATGTAACGCATACTAGCAACCTCGCCCATCTATGGCTATATGTGTATCACTGGAATGCACATATCCCAGATATGTAAATTTAAACATATACATATAATGTATACTTGGGAGAGTGTTCCACGTTCTCCCCATGCTCATTGATTAATAGCTCATCAGCGCTTTTGATTTGCGTATAAATTTTTGAATATTGTAGGTAAATAAGACTGTACTAGGGTAGACTGGAGAATTATTTGGTAAAGTAGACAATTCACACCATGCTACGCAAGTCAAATATAAATGGAAATTAATTCAGTTAATCAGATTTATTTCAGAAATATTCATCTCTTTTTTCCAGTCATTGCATGTAGATCAGTTTTGCATGCATTGCTGATGATGTAATATCAGACGTTAAACAGCCATTTGTTTTCATAATTTTGTGAGGAAATTCGTAAAGAACGTTTGTACACTTGTACACTTGTAGTGGATTAGCTTTTAGATAACTCCTCAAGCTTCATATATCAACAGCCGTGATAACCATTAGTGAATAAATCCCAAAGGTATATGAATTCAGAAGACCACACAAAGCCCCGACTACAGTTTATTATCGAATAGCAAAGATCAATAATTAATAAGGTTCAAGCACATATATGTGGGAAAGTGATGCCAAGTGGAGAATGTAGGTTAAAAAATGAAAACCGAAGTGAGGCAGAGAAAGCTAGTGAGTTAACTCGTTTTGATAATGTGAGACTCAACATTTACAACCAGACAAAAAAGCTACAGACACGTAATGAATAAGATAAGGAATACACACATGCTAATGTAAAAAAAGTTTAGGTTATTAAGCAAATAACTGACAAGGTCAAAGTGTGACTCAAGAAGAATGAATAAACTAGTAGGCGCAGAAGTTAGAATAACCTGTGTAGGCTTGTCATGGTACAAGACGCTACAAACTAACCAGTTGAAAACATGAACTGTACTTATAATAAAAAACAATACTATCATCCAGTGTTGATTTTTGTCGGAAAACTGTTTGTTAAAAGCTATTCTAAGGTTATTCTCACTGTCAGTAAAAGTATGCAAACATGAAATTTATTCATGGTTAAACATCGCATTACTTTCCATAAATGTATTTCAAATACTACAAGTGAATGGTGTTAATAACATATACTTTTCAAGAATGAACGATCATGGAAAATCTTGGATTACATAAAGAAAATACTTATGTCTTTTATGTTGACTTGTAAATCAGTGACTTAAAATGGTTACTAATCAGAGTATATTTTTCTTTGGCTAAATCGACTTGCCGCTCACCAGCATTCTCCATACAACTCTGTCCTCAGCAATTCTTTACAGTTACTTCCAGTTACTATTTGTCCTTTTCATATCTGCTTCTATTTCCCTGCGTAATGTGTTATTTGACCTTTCTCTTTTCCGTTTCCCTTCATGATTACAAGTTAGCACTTGCCTCGTGATGCAGTTTGATGACTTCCTCAATGTATGTCATATCCACTCCTAACGTCCTTTCCCAATTTACTCTTCAGATGGAGTCTGGTTTGTTCTCTCTCACAGTAGGCTGTTGCTGATGTTATCCAGTCAACGGATATTGAGTATCTTACATAGACAATTGTTTATGAATATTTGTACATTTTTGATGATGGTTGTGGTGGTCCTCGAAGTTTCAGTTCCATACAGTAGGATTGTCTTGACATTCGTATTGAAGATTGTGACTTTGATATTAATTGACAGTTGTTTTGAATACCATATATCCTTCAATTGCAGGAGATCTGTTCTCACTTTGCCAATCCTTGCTTTTACATCTGCATCGAATCCTCCTTGTTCATTGACGATGCTGACTAGGTATATGTAGTTTTTCCACCTGTTTCAGCAGAGTTTCTCCATCAAGTGTGATTTGGTTAGTATTCTTTGTGTTGTATTTGAGGATCTTGCTTTCCCTTAGTTTATGTTGAGGCCTACTGATGCACAGGCTTCTGCTACACTGTTTGTCTTGGCCTGCATTTGTTGAAAAGCATCGGATAGAAGAACCAGGTGATTTGCAAGGTTAAAATCGTCTAGTTAATTCCTAGCTATCTACTGTAGTCCGTGCTTTCGCTCAGATATCGAGGTTTTCATAACCCCATTGACTACAAAAAAAGTGTGTGAGTAAGCAGCCTTGTGTGACTTCAGTCCTCACTTGGAATGCATTTGTCAAATGTCCTCTATGCATGACTTTGGAGTGTACTCCGTCGTATGAGTTCCGTATGATATTGACGATCTTCTCAAGTACACTATAGTGTTGATGATATGTCCTTTCATCGAGTCCATCTGCACGTATTCCTCCTCCCAAAACAAAATGTTAGCTACTCCGAATCTCTGTACGGCAAAACACTGGGAAAAATAACCAATTTGGTAGGTTTTATAGACCTTTTTCAACTTATAAGTTAACATAACTGTTTGAATTAAATTAACAATACATGTCTAGTGAGTATGTCTTAATTCAAATGATAAACACCAATTAACTAATTTAGGGTTATATTTTTAATTGGCCAGTCGTTGAGATCTATGTTGGGGTTTAATGATAAATTAAAGATCCCATAAAGTTTTGTTTAAAATAGTCTTAGAGACTAGTGGGACAACATATATTTAAAAACTTCCATCGGATACTGCTTTCATTGCTACCACCATGAAGTATACTCCACAGATTCTCCTGGTGATCTTGTTGATTGTAGTTAATTTAGATTACAGTAAGATAACTTATCAATTCATTTTATTATATGATGTATCTGTCCATTTAATTATGTTTAACTGACTCTAATATTTAAAAAATTCATCAGGTTATTTTCACCCAAACACGGTCTAATGAAAAGTAGTGAACTTCAGTAGTACTGTAATGAATAATCTGAATATTCTGAGAGTTTTAACAAAAACTAAAATAAATACTAAGTAGCTAGTAGTCCTTGTCTATCTAGCTGTTGGCGAAACGTCAAAGTTTAAAAACGTTGCAGTTTTCTTTGGCTCTAACACTTCAGAAGTTTGTTAAAGAAACATATATTCGAGTGGAACGACCTCTGGAAAAAAACTTGAGCGTCATTCGTTGACAAACAAGGACAACCTAGGTTTACCGGTAATCATATTTCAAATTATTAAGTATATTTAAAGTTACTAAGACAGAAAGTGAAATGCTGATGGTATTGTTTGATTCCCTGTACTGTAAAAATTAGTTAAAATGAGTAACAAATTTTATTTGATTCAAATGAGCTTAGACTATGAGAACAAACAGATAGATAGAATGTTTGGAGATATCCATTCCTTTTGTAGATCTGTAACGTTCACTCTGAGTTTTCTATATAATATCACGGAAGACTTATTGTGAACATATATATATATATATATATATATATATATATATATATATATATGACCAATCTTTCCTGGGTTCGGATCTCGCGAGGCGGTATCGTGGATGCATACTGTCGTGGAGTCCAACAATAGGACGAAACGGACGTTCAGTACTTTCACGTTTTCCATGATGGTCTAGCTTTAATTGGCTCATGATCTCAAGTAATAAAATTACTATAATATCCACAAAAACACCTTCTAATATTAAGTAAAAATAACCTTGGTCATCAATTGTCTTATGGAACTTTTCCATATTTCACTGTAATTTAGATAAATGAATTTAGTGAGAATAAAAGAACTATTTATTTGTTAAGATCAGAAGAAAAAATAAGCCAAATAACATTCTTAAATTAAGACTATAAAACAAATCCCCTTTGAGTAACCCATAAAAATATATTACAAAATAACTCCCTGATGGTCGCATTTTATTTTTTAGCCTCCTCACAGTTACTTCTTAAAGTTGACCTGTTGAATATTACGTTTCATGCTTCTTTATAGAATGGAAAACCAGTAGAATAATTAAATAGTACGAACTGAAGATCGTTCTTACATCTTAAAGCATTCAAATCATGATATATATAACTCGGTTATCAAAGGTAAATTAGTAGAAAACACTGGCAAAACGCTTTATAACCATTTACCTGATGCCACTAAGACAAAGCGACTGATCATTGGTGGATCTAAATGGAATTCAGCTTAAAATATAATTGTAATCCATATATATATATATATATATATATATATATATATATATATATATATATATATATATATATATATCTTGAATTAAATTTACTAAGATTCAGTTTTTAACACTAAGGGCTAAATGTAAAGTAATTGAGATTTTAATTATTTGAGAAAAATGTTTATTTGATTTTAATGAGCGTTTCCTACCAGTATCTAATATAAACCATAATTAAATTAACTTGGTTTAAATGAAATAATTAAAAATATGGAACATTAAATTAAATAAACACTTTAAGTAGTCTGTATACTAATTACATACTGATAAACCTGCTGATCATCTCGTATTTCAAAATATCATCTTCACGCTTATACTTATGTCTAATGTAAGACATAAATATGTTTATAGTTAAATGGATATTTTGATCTGCTCGAGTGGATCGGGACTCATCATAGGCCATCAATTCCAGAAGAATTAAGATCATAGACAATCAATATATTACTTTTATTTCAAAGTTTCAATCACCAATAAATATCTCATCCACTCACATTCTGAATGGATGCTTACCAGTACGAACGTTAATAATTTCTACCAATTATCTTAATATCATGATTAGCATCGATTGTCAGGATAACCTGGATAGACGTACAATGTTGACATTGATGTTATTTTCATCTTTTTCGATTTCAGGTACGTCTTTAAGCTGCTACACTTGCGAAACTTGTCCAGCCATATTTAACGCTTCATCTCCACAAGTAGGCAACCAAAGTGGATGTGCATGGTGTGTCGTAAGTGAAGTAAACAATTTGTTTATTGGATTTAATTGAGAAAATACTGTTTTCTTTTCCAAAAATTGAACTAGCATCTCATTGCCAGTTAATGTGATTGAAAACATGCATCAGATGTTTAGTAATGATTTCGCTTGATAATACCTCGATTGTAATAAGGTAACTATCCACCTGTTTCCTGAAGGTTGAGATTTGACCGTTCTACTAAAATCTGAGTTGCAATGAAATCATGTGAATAAGCATTGTTGGTAGTTCCCAGTTATTTTAAGCTAATTTCATGTTACCATATTGTTAAGTTTCTTCACATTATTAATAGTATTAACTATCAATGTTGTTGTCGTTAGGTTTGAAGAAACCTGCATGTTTATTGTACAAAAGAACTCAGTGAAAGAAATAATTTAACAACTGTATTGATAAGAGCAATTATGAATTTGATTCATGTATGTAAACCGAAACAAATCAACATTATGTGAAATCAGATATGTCAGTACTGTTGGTCATAACTGAACTGTGACACAGGTATACGTGGTTCTTCTATCACTCGTGCTGAATTTTTTCATCGATAAGATCTGATAATGCATTGGTATTAAGAAATTAGTAAATAACAACGGATTTAGGATAATGACAAAATGCTGTTTTATGAATAAACTCACTACAATAAAGGAGTCTAGCCTTTGTTTTCAATACCTCTCATTAAATTTTTAGCAAAATATTTAGTTGAAATATTTATGAATTAAAACTCAGTTGTTTCAGTTAAATTTGTACTCATCAGGAAACCTGAGATCGGTGGTTTGGATGTTATATCGAGTTACAGGTGTTAACTGATAAAGCATCCCGAACTTTTGAGGGGTATTATAGCAATTTAAAAACTGCATTAGTACATATTATCGCTCTACATGTGAGTGAACAAACTAGATATGATGTATACTGAAATCTTTTATTTGTTCATATATTATTTATGTGTTATGGTTAGTTACTGAATTCTAGTAATACTATATGTTTAATATGTTGCATGAAAGTATTCATCATTATGTTTTCTTTCAAAGAAAATTTTTTTCGTATAAAATTGATTGAAGTTTCTTTACAGAATATCCAGAAGGAAGGTAGGTGTAAGAGATTAGAAATAGGATATATGGAAATAAGGTTCTTTACTGTGAAAAGAATTCGCACTTAAAAAAAAATAAGTAGGTGTTTATCTAACTGTATTGACATAAATGTCTTGGTTATGCACATAATGATGTAGGCGAATCTTGACAATACATTTGAGAATTTTTCCAATAAAAGGTTTTATGATTGAAATATAACAACAAAATATACAATATCTTTGTATTACTAGTGAATACACTAAATAAATTCAGCATAATGTCTAAATGAAATTCTGAAATAAAAGAATAATAGAGATCATATTAGACTAACTAATAATAGAACACAATTGACGAGTCCCAAATAGGACGAAACGCGCGTCCTAGATTCCACTGCTACCCACTATCCATCTTTGCTTAAAACACAGATATATCTTAGTACTATATGTTTGAATGAAGAGTAAACTTTCAACTATTTTTATTGACTGATTTTTCTTGTTGTTGTCTATTATAGAAGATTGCAGTTAAATATCGTCGTACTACAATAAGACAATGTTCAGATAGATGCGATTATTACTATTTTTGGAAATCATACTCCAAGTTTTCTTATTATTGTTGTAATACTGACTATTGTAATAAAAGTATACAGAATAATGCAATTCATCATATACTAATTATGATTGTCATAACTCTAGTTTGTTTCTATATTAGTAGAAAATAAATTTCTTTTAAATAAAGACGAACATTACAATTTGCTCAAATCAAATTCATTCAGAACTTTATCTTGATTTTATATTTGTGTTCAAAAAATGAATAGATATCTTTTAACTCAGTTATTTTAGTGTATTCAAACCTCTTTTTTATTGATGATAAATATTTTAGAAATCGAAAACCTTCATTGCTTATCTTTAGATTTTTTCATTAAACAATTAAGTAACTAATTCGAGATACCATATAGTACACACTAAAGATATGAGTGTTAAATTGGCTGATATAGCTTTACTTACTTACGCCTGTTATTCGCAATGAAGCATAGGCCACCGACCAGCATTCTCCAATCCACCTTGTCCTGGGCCTTCCTTTCTAGTTCTATCCAACTTTAAATTTTTCTCATGTCTATCGCTGTTTCTCAGCGTAATTTGTTGTTTGGTCTTCCTCTTCTCCTTTGGCATTCAGAATTCCATGTAGGGGCTTGTCTTGTGACGCAGTTAGGTGATTTCTCCAATGTGTGTCCTATCCATTTCCAGCGCTTCTTCCTGATTTCTTCCTCCACTGAAATCTGGTTTCTTCTCTCCCACAGTAGGTTGTTAGTCATAGTGTCTTGCTGACGGATCCGGGGTATCTTGCGTAGACAATTGTTAATAAACACCTGTATCTTCTGGATCATGGCTTTCGTAGTTGTCCAGGTTTGCGCCCCATATAATAGAACTGTCTTGATATGTGCATTGGACATTCTGACTTCGGTGATGATTGACAAATGCTTTGAGTTGCAGATGTTTTTCAGTGATAAATATGCTGCTCTTGCTTCGCCTATCCTCGTCCTCACATCTGCATCAGATCCACCGTGTTCATCGATGATGCTGCCCAGATATGTAATGGTTTTCACATCCTTCAAGGCTTATCCGTCAAGTGTGATTCGATTGGTGCATGCTGTATTATATCGGAGAGTCTTGCTTTTTCCTTTGTGTATATTAAGATCTACTGCTGCTGAGGCTGCTGATACACTGGTTGTCTTCTCCTGCTTTATTGTTTAGATCGATTATTCACTAGTATTATCATGTAAGTACTGACCTAACTTTAACAATCAAGTTTCAGTGTGACTTGAAATCGTGTACACTATATTGTATTGTTGGGTGGTTGGAAGTAGTCGTCAAGAGATCAATATTTCCTGACTTATCGACAATAGATTAATCTGAAAACGTTAAGCTTATTAAGCAATGAATTGAATACTGTAAATCTATAGAACTTTGCACTTAAAAAGTGAGTATGTTTAGAGTTCATTTTAGACATTAACATCAACTGATTAAATAATACCTTCAATCTATTAACGATTTGATCTGTTTCATTTTTTCTATGTGTAGTGTTAAGTGCTAATGAATGGATTTGAAAAACAATAGATTATCAAATGATTCAGTGATTCAAATATAACTTATTGTCTAGATTTAAATATTTTCTGTGTACCTCGGACGTTACACGACTGATAATTTCTGTAAATTGCTGTATGAGAAATACGTCTTGAGAAATATTGGAGTAGTAAACAATAGACCTATCTGAACTAGATTCCCATGATACTTCTATCAATAAAACAGTTCATTAACATAAGACACTAAATATCGATACTGAGTCCTAGATAAACCTTGAGATTTATAAGTACCAAACTATTGATATAGCCTCCAGATTCTTGCTTCTACTATTTTTCCTCGAATATGTTTGGAAGTAATACTATCAAATATTATAAACAAATGAAGACACTTTTAGTCTTTGATTTTTTGTATGTGCTAGTTATAAATAATTCACCATTTCTTGTTGCATTAAAAGTATGATTAACAAATGTTCTTAAGGTTTACTGTTATACTAAGTCATGGAAATCATGAATTTTATTTAAAGTTTTGACGCACATATATCATTAAATCTGAAAACAAAATTAAATTGCATTTGATAATGCCGTATATACTGTTAAGCAACCTCAGATTACTCCTTGACATTAGGCTTATTACATAACAATAAAACCAATGCAAATCTACTTCAAATTTGAAGAATTTCTCAGATATATTTCCAAACGATTCATTTAGTTAGAATGTTAAGTGTTTCACTTGCTCATTAAATTTACTAACTATTCTTCGAAGAAAATATCTAGCTGATAAATCTTCTGACCAAACTATTGAATCGGTTTCTTATGATATTCCCATAACCCTAAGCTGAATGCACACGACAACTTGAACACGAGAGAGAAGAAGCGAAATGTGGAAAGACTGCCTTACTCCGAAGTTAGTTTATGTACAGAAAATCGAGGGTATTCATAGCATTTTGGATGACCTTGGGCATCCGGAAAGTTCTGGAGCTGACTTGATAAAATGTTTTCCAGTGTTTTAAGGGCTCCTCTGAGTTTTTTCCAGGAATACTCTGAGTTCGCTCAACATTAACTTTACCCTATGTTTAGCAATTATATAGTTGGATATTGGCATTCATATAGAGCGGAAATTATTTAGATCAGTCAAATAATTTTTTACGTTTGATTCGTAAATGTAAAAAATTTAATAAGAAGCACGTCAAGACTATGATACCTTAACCGAATACTTTAGCTGACGTTCCCATTTGTGTGACTTTTGGATTATTTTTCAAGAGCTTTCTAAGTAATTTTAATGCATTTGGTTGGTCATACCATTTAAACTGTTCAAAATACCCACTTCATATTGAAAAGAAATTTTCTCATAATTGTTTGAAATTTCCCATTTTATTTAAAACAAAAGTATATGACCTTTACTTTAATTGTTAAAAATTACTTATTTTATTACAAAAGGTATATGAACTAGATATTAATTGTTTAAACAATTCCAATTCTGTTAAAACAAAAGTTTATTTCTATAAAGAAAATATTACACTTAGATCGTTAAACAGAATCAGGATAAATACTTTTCAGAAATATATTGTATATGAAAGTTGTTTAAAACAGTTTTTATGACTAGAAGTAACATTACAACTGTGGTGAACTGAATAGAATTACACAAAAGAAGAAAAAAAGCTTGTCAAAAAGTATGTGTAAGAAAATGGTCAATAAACTATATGGGAACAATGAAACGGTGAATTACTTATGAGTAGTATTTATATGGGTGTTCAAATCAATTCATAATTAATCCACAAATTTAATGTAAAAAGACAGAATGTCCAAAACTATTGACATATTTTGAAATTGTAGCAATGACCAGATCGGATAAATGCTTGTAGCAGCAACTATCAATGTATATGAACAAGTTCATTGGAGACGTGGTATTATGATCCATCAACGTTGATGATCTATGTCGAATGATTGGAGGCCTTTTCGAGTTAGACAGGAACAGTGTAACGAACAAGCTAATTTTGAAGTCACACCTCGCGGTCAGCATCTAATGTGTATTATCCCATTCGACGTATTAAGGTACCGTGTCTGCTTTGAAGACTGTATAACCCAAAGAGCGTGATTACGTAAATATATTAGTAAGAATGAGTACAGAAATTTTATTGAGACCACCACCACATGAGCCAGTTCATGACGTATGATTAACTGATGCGCGTTTTGTTGTCCTTGACTTTAACAGGAATCGATTATCTGTTCGATATTCAGTGACCCAACTCCCGGATGATTTGGCTAGGGCTCGGTGACATTTCATCGCCCCTACAGTATGTTACTGACTTTGATAAAGAGAAATTGGTTTAGCTAATAGCATATGTTTTTGTATCTCATATTTTACGGTTAAGATTTAATGCAATACCTTTCAACATCGTGTGATTTGAACAATTCGTAAATATTTATTTACACTCTAAATATAATTTTTTAATAGATTTCTAAATTGATATCATGAACAGATCAATGTTAGACCATAATTAAAAACCTGGAAGCACTGGACAACCTTTATGTTTTAGTATAGGACTCCTTAGCGGTGAGCATCCACGCCCTCGCACGTGGGGCTGAAACCTAGGATCTTCGATCTCGAGCTAGAACGCTTAACCGGAGTGCGGGGTGCGTACTGATGACGATTCCCATACTGTGACGAAACAACCACCCAGTGCTTCCAGGTTTTCGATGGTGGTATAACGTTTATCCATTCATGATGCCAATTTAAACTCAGCAATCTTGACAAACCTATACAGATTTCTAAATACAATCTCAGCATGATATGATTTCTTTTGAATACTATTTATTGTACATTACTGGTCCAGATTTCTCGTACAGAAAGTTAACTGGTATCGATGAAATAAATTGATCAGAGGTACAATTTTTCATTATCTACTTGTTCTGATCAAATAATCATACTAGATATAACACTAAGTTATTAGGTTTGTATATTACCTTATAAATGATGCCAGTTACAGTAATTCGTCTAAAAATCAGTAATTTATAATCGTTGTAATAACAATTCCACGGAATACGAAAACATTTCACATTGGTCAGATAGTTATAAGATCTATATAAAGTCTGGAAAGTGACTTGTCAACATTTTACAACAATTTCTAGAGGATTTTCCGCGCTGTCACACCATATATTCTAGTTGCAGTGAGTATACAATATAGACAATAACTACATGAAATTGACATGTAAATAAAAAATGAGTAACAATAAGAAACACGCATATTTTTGATGTTTCTCTTTAATGAGAAGATTTATAAATATAACTATGACGCTAATATAACTACTAATTATATTTCTCTGACACTTACTCAAATGACTTACATCAGAAATAAACTCAAATTAGTCAGCTGACGAGAAACCTCGAAATAATATGAATTCATACTATTCTGCATCAATGTTTGTTCTTGCTTTATTTAAATTCATAAAGGGAACCAATTGCATGAAATTTTCAAAATGCTGGTTAATGTATTTTGTTGGGTGTCTGACTGTTTCAACTGAATATTGAAAGCTTTTCCAAGTTTATTACCTAGTGGAGTGAGATTTAAATAAACATGTAGCACTTGCTCATTGTGTCGGATCCTATTGACATGATTGTAAGAGCTAAATATAAGATAACTTAGAAGATTTACGTTTAACAAATAACACTCAGAGAAGCTCAGAAATGATGAACACGGGTACACTAAACGTGTATGATATGACTCGGCCACCCAGGCATGCTCACTTCATGTAACCTTTTGCTTTTTATATCGTGTAGTATCAGTTTATATGTTAAGCCCATATACTTTATTCTAGCTTCTGGCCAAGCTAATTCATCTATATATTATGAGTCATATTTTGATCTTGTTAATCATTCGCTTATTAACCTTGACTACCTTTTTATATGAGCGTATATGTGTACCCTTCGTATCCTATTCATCATATGTCTGTCATTCATTTTTGTCTGATTATAAATATTGAGTAATGCTTGCTCATAGCGAGTTGGCTTCCCAGCCATCCCCACTATGCATCATTGCTTCGCTCGCTTACACTTGCTCATGTGCCCATAGCTTTCTGGCCTGCATCATTCATCAATAAAAATGTAGTTGCCGCTTCCTTTTGCCTTCTGATTTTATACACCGTTAAGATTTGTATAATAACGGTTATCGAAGTGAACTATTGTTGAAGCACGGCACTACAATTGAATATACTACCCTTTCCTCAGTCCAAATGTATTATTCAGAAGACCCTAGCAGCAACCACTCACTGTGACAACAGATTAACTCAGTATAGATAATGATATGACCTGAAATATTAGGTAGTCACATAATGGCAAAAATGTTGGATGAGACCTGCTACTCTAGTAGCACAGATAAGTGTACTATTGTAGAAAACTAAGAACTTAAGAAGAGAAGACCAATTTATAGTGCTTCCATAGAATATGAAAACCATACATTAAATACATCATTTGCACATCTTCGAGCAGCTGTCTCTTACAATTTTCACTGTTCCTCCATTCCTATTGTTATTTTGATTGCTGTCAGTTTTCTTCTCTATTCTCTTTATTTCAATCTTTCTAATCTTATACTAACATGCAATCTACTCCCAATTGGAGCTACATACTACTTATATCTATCAACATAAATAGCATACTCCACACTATCACCAGCATAGACCTTAATCCTGGACATCTGTCATGTAATTATTGTTATGTTTGTAAGATCCAAACTAAGGTTTAAACTGAAGAATAACTGTCTAGGTAGTTTAGACGCGCACTATTGCCCAGTTGAAATCGAAACTAGTTGATTAGGTAAATAACGGATCTAAGCAAATATTACCACTCAGTTAATCAACCAATAATTGTTCACTCAATAATCGATCAATAGCAACAAGTAAATGTTAATCTATCCTTTCTGGATAGATCAGATTCGTTTGAAAGATATTATTTAGTTGCTTTATAACATAGATTGTTTCCAATTCTGAAAAAGTGCTTCAATTCACAATCAAAAAGGCACAATCTTTGTCATTGCAAGCAGCACAATCATAAGGAGAACAAATCAATATGGTTGCCGCCAAGACTAAGTATCTACTAAAACAACATAAATGCAGTTCAGGAAGAAACTGCGCGAAGGCATAAGAAAAAATGAGAAACTATAATAAAATAAAAATATTACCATCTCAAATGGCATCAAAAGGACCAACAAAATGTACAACTGAAGGAATCAATAACAACAAGTTGCAAATGTATGCATGGAGGGATTTTCACACATAAAAAACCTTCAAAATGGATCTTACAATGCTGCTTGGAGAAGTATATTTTTCGAGCTTTGGCAACTATGTAAAACACCAATATTTATCAACGTTATTTGATATATCCCTTCTTCAGTATGTTAAGTCAAGTAGCTAAAATAAAACAGTGTAATCCCTAATGTAAATCTAACATCACTAGGTTTAAACAAATAGTCAGCAACCAAAAAATACTTTATAGTAGAACACTCTATGAATTTGAATAACCAGTTAAGCTCTACACATAACGGTTAATTTCTAAATTCTTAACTTATTTCTAATGTTTAAATAACATTACCAATACATGGCTACTGGATTAGTATGTCTGTCGCATAGATACAAATACCAATAAACATTTTGAGTCTTTCCAATTGGTTAATCAGCTCTAACGATAACGTATGAGTCTCATAAAATCCTGACTAAGATACTGCAGATAATTACAGAGACCCTTAACATTTGAATTTAGTAGTCGGAGTTTAATTATATTCCTATGAATATGAAGTATATGACACAAATCCTGCTAGTGATCTCACTTATTATCATTAATATAAATTACAGTAAGATCATTTGTTAATGTTTCATTTCATTTATTAATGTTTTATGGTACAGAATGCAAATACATATCATGTGATTAAAATAATTATGCACAGGTTTTAAATTTACTATGCTTAGGGATTTCCATAATTCGATAATTTATCTTGTTATTTATAGTTAACAATCAGTTCAATAATAACTGGTAAGCTAGATTAGGTGATGATCAGAAGCTTTTCAGTTCCCTATGTACTGAAGTTAATGAATATATTATAACTGTAATAACATTATTATTAGCTTCAATAATTCTTCAAATTCATTTCGAAATATTTGGTTAATTGATGGACACTAAACTCTAAGCCTTAAAACATTTAATGTCACAGAAAGCTATTGTATATTTGTTTTGTGTAAAAATTTGATTTCGCGTTATTTTAAAATCATATAGTGATTTCTATAAGTAACAGACTTAATTTTCTGGCATTTTTCAGTTCATTCATATAATAGGACACTAGTTACATTCATAAATTACTGACTCAATATTAGAATTAACAATAGTCGCTGTATTCACTACTATATAATTTGTTGTAGTAAGGATCTTTTTAACAATAATAAGACTGGTAGGTCATACGTCCGAATATCACGAGTGCGGGATCGTGGATGCGCACTGCTGAGGAGTCCCATAATAGGACGAAACGGCTGTCCAGTGCTTCCAGGTTTTCCATGTTGGTCTAGCTTCAATGGACTCATGATTTCAAACATGAAAATAAGTTTTGTGTTTATGAAAACTTTTATACGGTAAAATCCAAACAATATATATAAATAAGTCTATACTATAGTAATCTTTTACTAAATATATATTTGTTCTCGAATATTTCTGACAATTCTACTTCTATGATTTCTTCGACTGCACAATCTATATGCTTTACATGCATGGAGTTGCATCAAGGAGTAAATAGGAAGTGAGACGTAGTAATCGCTTCTGTGTTTCGATTAGGAATTGGCATCATTTCTTATGATATCGTTTGAAAGCTTTGCATTAAAAGTCAGAAGTAAATAATATAATTGACTTTATCAGTTAGCTAGTAAGTAGGTGGCCTAGAGAAAATAGTAGGCAACCAACTTATGTATAGTTTATTAGTTCAGATGCAAACTACACAGATCATGGATTCCTGACTATTTTTTGAACCAATTTGTTTTCGACAATTCAAATTCCGACTTCAGCGTTCCAATAAAGAAACAGTTGTTTCCAAGCTTGCCTACACTATAAAATTTAAGGACACCTTTATCCGCAGTATCTCAGAAGTTGGTTAAAGAAACAGAATCTTTTATAAAATATTTTAGGAAAACTAGCTCAAATGAAGTAACTTAACTGTCATTTGTCGTTATTAAGGAACAATTGCACTTTGCCTGTAATCACATTATTATTAAGCATATTCGAACTTATTAAGTAAGCTAGGATATATATATCATAATGTTTGACTACTGAAAAATTAATCAGTAAAAAAATACAAGCTACAATTTTTTTTAAAAAAATTAAGTGTACGTAGAATATAAGTAGGTAAAATAAGTTCTGCGTCGAAAGATAAACTGTTAATCGGTTTTAAGTAGATTTTCAATTTCTAAACTTTTGTTCCTCGAACTTTACTACGTTATATTATGTATGGTGTACTGTGACCACTTTCATTCTCGGTTATTCATTTGTAATAGAGTAGATTTCATCAAAATTCTTAGTATGATTAGTATAATTATGTGGTTTCATGTTATTTGTACTCAATAAGTTCAACGTAATGCTATATGGATTGCAATCAAAGCACCGATTGAAGTGTTGAGATCTGTGAATAAACTAGATTATGCTACAAGATATAAGAAAGAAAGTCTTATCTCACTACGATATGGATTTGAAGTCTGTTTATGTAATTACATTTCCAGAATTTATAAGCTGACCATTCTTGTATGAGGCTGAGCAACACTCATTCGTTTGAACTTTTGTTTCATTGCAAATAACACCGAAGCCACGTAATAAATGTGAGTTATAGGTGATCCATCAAACATTCTGTTATTTTCAAGTTGTTTTAATATCCATTTCGAATTTATCTGAAATTTTCACGAGATCAAAATAGCCTTGGTAATCGATTGTCTTTTGGAAGTTTGTTATGTCAAAATCTTAGGGGAATTCTTTAAGTCAGTTTATTATAACTATTAAAGTCTGTAAGAACTAATATTTGAAAACAATCTCATTTGTTAGATTTATCGTAAAAGGTGCCTTATGATCTCACCTGTAAACACTTTCTTTAAAACAGTTTTCGAAGTTTAAAAATGGAACTGCTACCATAATTAAGTGCAAAATCAAAAATATGATTATAGGTGGCTTCCTAAGAGTACTCATCCACTTCCTATTATTTTATTGAACATTTCCTATCATATAAACACTCATATAAGTATCTTAATGTACGATCATATAAGGTTTAACACACATGTTAACTTACCAACTCTAAGTTGGTGATCAGCTTACTATTTGAGAAGTAGTTGTGGTATTCATTGTTGTATAAATTATACTCCAAAAATACTTAATTTACTAAGTTCACGACTACGACTGGTTAAATTGTCTATGGCCAGAATACTTCATCACAAGAATTCCTATTTTTTGGGAATCGTCAATTTTTTGATATCTGAAGATGTACCGGTTTGTAAGTTCTAAACATTACAAAAATTTGGGGAATAGTTTGCATCCAGCTATCCATTGTCAAGACAAAAGGTATCCTTATGTTGAATAAATTAGCCGAGTGGCCACATATCAAATTTCATCAATATAGTGTTGTCGACGTTTAAGGCCTGAAATCAGTACTCTAGTTACTACGTTGTGATGGATCAGTCACGTATTTGAGCCAGCTTAGTTATGATAGATATGATTTACTTCTCCTTGATGTTACAACTAATTAGTTCACTAAGACTTATGACGTATCTACTGATCACCTTTCATTGGAAATAACAGGGTCATAAATATTATTTTAATGCTTTTACATTTTATTGAAATCACTAACCGATCTAAGTTAGGTAAACATTGAAAACCTGAAAGTGTTGGTTGTGTGAGACAGGGAGCTCTTAGTTGTATTCTCGTTGCATTGTCGTGGGTGTACACTATTTAGTTGGTCCATACTAGAACTTAAAAGCCGTTCAATGCTTTCTGGTTTTTAATGGTTGTCTAACTTTTATCGGTTGATAATTTCAATGGAATTAAACAATCTCCGCGACCTCATACTTACACTTACTAATTGACCAGCGGTATAACCTAAAGTTACCTACATTTGAATCCAAAATTGTTACTGTCATCATAAATTTGGTTCGGAGATAGAACGTCATGCCATGTAAAATAATAAAATATTGGTATACTCCTTTTCACTCACTTTTTTGTAGATAATTATCAATATGTGTGATAATCTGTCCTATTAGTTACCATGACATACTAATGGTGAAACAGTCGTTATTTTCTTATCTTTTGATTTCAGATTTGTCTTTGGATTGTCATTCATGCTTATTATGTCCAAATCCTTTCAACCCGTCGTCACCACTAGTACACAATTACAGTAATTGTAAATGGTGTGCAGTAAGTGAAATAAAAAAATATCCATTTCGGGGAATTCTATTCCCTTACTGAATTATACTAAGTAATTACAATTTTACAAATGAAACTCGCTGAAGAGACCTAAAGTATTATACAGTACCTAGTGTATAGACTTAAATACGTGCAAACAGACTAGTTGTGGATTCACTGTATTTCTGACATTATTTCTTTGAGAATGTAACTGCTTAACTATCTCCAAGATGTTGAAAGTTGGTTATTCTATTGAGATCTAAGAAAAACTTAACTAGAATGAAAATATTTTATTTATGCCTTCTGATAATTTAAAGCGAAAAGCAATGTTACTGTGTTATCAATTGTTTACGCTTTGATCAACTGAATTTTATTAACAAGAAGGGTATGTCAAGGTTGTTGGATTTTATATTGGATATCATGTACTTGGATTAGTTAGACAATAATTTAAACCTTAAAAACAGTGGATAGTTATTTCGTCCTCATTTGAAACTCCTCAGTGGTAAGGACTCACGATACAGTTACTTAGCAGAATTGTAGAGGTTAATTCTTCTCTATTTGGATCCAATAAATTATATCCCGTTAACTGAATATTTTAAGCAGGCCGATTCTTCTAGTAGTACTATGAATTCGCTCGAGAATATTCAAAAGCCAAAGCACTAGTTGTTGGCAGAGTGCATTGGTAACAAATGATAAAATCCTCAAGCTCTCAAAAGACAACCACATTGGAAAACTAGAGAGTAAGAGTGAGTGTCGAAAAAAATCCACATATATTTATGTGTATTAACCGACTGTGGGTATGTTATTGATTGAATGTGTAAACAACCATTGGGAGAATAAATGCTAATAATGTGCAACATGCGTTCAATCAAACTCACAGATAATTTTACATAGTAGGTTAGATGTTTAAATTACAACAAGTAGACATACAAAAACAATATTCAATTGGCTTACTATAGCATCACTGAAAGGAGAATTTATATATTCACAACTTGATCAAAATTGATTGTAAACAGATGGATACCGACTCAGTGATCCAACGGATAAAAGCTCATCTCACGATCTTAATTGCTAGGTTTGATATCTAGAATTTAATACTAAAGCGAAACATCTGTTCAGTGTTCTGTGATTCTAAATGATTGTTTAACTAAGGTCAGTCTATGACGTAAACTATAAAATTTATTGACACTGTAAACTACTGATGCTGTCATAATGAACACTAAATGCGCAGAAACTTGTGGGCTTATAGACACTGTGGACAAATACAAGACCTCAAAGAATAAATAAGTCTGACAATCATTCGCGGATTTGTTCCCTTGATTTTAAATAAACGATTGATTACCATAAAAAGTAAATGAATTTCATCCCATACAGTGATTTCAGTGATAAGTAATAAACAGTATAAGTGGCTTTAAAAAAATTCGTTTGGATTTGATTGATTTAGCCTTTTACTGTATGTAAAAAGAAATGAACCAATTTTGTTGGATCTCTAAAAGTAAAACTAATATTGTATATGAAAATCTAACACAACTAGTTATCCCCATACTTTATTGATTGTTATTGTGATTTATGTATCAAGAAACATTAGTGGACAATTTACCTAAATCATAGGTGTTAAAAGGCTGTTATCAAGCAGTAGATAACGTAAGTTCAAGTGTCCTTTCTACAAAAATTCTGAGACTTGTTACTAGAAACCGTGAATTGCACTATGCATGTAAGAACAATAAGACAGTGGAAAGGGTTTTCTTTGATGCTAAGATAGACCATGATGATACCTGAATACACTAATATTTTTATTATTGATTTACATCGATTGACAGTGAGATTTATAAAATTAAACTGAATAGTACTTGACATTAATGAATTCACAATTAACTACATGAACACAAATTTACATCACAAAAATTTAATGTCTATGACCATTAGGTGTATTTGATTCACTAGAAACATATAATCACACTTTTTATGATGTGATACTATGGGATCAACAATTTTAAAAAAATTTGATAACGTTCTAGTCCTTGAACAACATATCGTCAAGATAACGTCTAGTTGTTATGGTTGATTTAGTCATCTACAATAAATGTGTTTTTTGTGAATCTTGTACTTCTCGTAGACTAGAAGTGAAACATGTAGTTGTGATATTTATTAATAAACACTTAACTATTTAAGTTGAATTTGTAACTTTTGGTGAAATATGAGATTCGTTGCTTCGTAAATTTATAGGGGTAATCAGCTGAGGTATCTCGAATATTTATGGGATAGAATAACAATTTAAAACCTTTATAAAAGCATCTTATCACTGACTTTAGCTAACAAGTAGAATATCTAGCAGGAGAGATTAGAGATAAGATTAGGAAGATGATATATGGATAATACCGTTTCTTATAGTCAAAGTATTCGCTTTTGAAACAGATACGCAAAAGTTTTTTCACTACCACATTGATAGTATTTACAGACAACTGCACACTTAATGATGCCTTTTTCCTGTAATTGTAAATAGTTGTGAAGGTAGATTTCGACTGTAAAGTTGAGATGTGATATACTATAACTGGAATTTGACAAAAAAAAACACATTATGTTTGAATCGCTAGTGAACACACTAAATATCTAATAGATTTTCTATGATATATTGACAGAAGAATGAAAACAAAGTAATATCCCACCATCTAATTCACACGTTTGCCTGTTTTCAAGAGTACCCTTTTAATTATTTTTGTTGGACTAAAGTTGTATATCTATCCACTTCTTCATGTCTTTTATTATAGAAACTTGAAGTTCCAGGTTATTCAAACCCGATCAGACAATGTACACCCAGATGTGACTTTGAATATTTCCGCGAAACATATCCCAAGCTTAGATATTATTGCTGTCAATATAGCTATTGTAACGAAAGTGTACAGATTCGAGCAATTAATCAAATACTATTAATAACTATTATAACACCTATCTGCTTCTTTATTAATAAAAAGAGATGAAAAGATATGAACAGTACATTATTGAAATCAAACGTCTTCATAAGTTCACGACCCAATTTTCACATATTTAATCATATGAAAAATGAATGTTATTTCTATGATTCATTTATGTACTTTGATTCAGCCTTTTTTATATTATTATATTTTTAAAAAATAATAATACCCATGATTATTTTTATATTTTTGTGTTAAATAAATCATTTACTAATTAAAAATGCTACATAATACACATGTGAGATAGATGCATATTTACATTCCATAGGTTGGTTATCATTTACATGTCTAATAAAATTACCATTTTCTTCAAAATTGATTGTTTTTTTTGTACTACTCGATTGCTATTTGACTGGTCTCCCGGTCTCCCACATTGTCCGGACGTTTCATGTACCCATATTTATTGTTGCTCTGGTTGTTAGAAGGGGCATCGGCCTCGTGACTTCCAAAAGATCTCAACTTTCATCATGAGGCGTCATAATTATTCCTTCAACTCCCAGGGCAGAGTTTAAATAGTTTAAATCATTTTTTGTGGTTAGCTTTTTTAGCGATTTAGTTTTTCTACGGGATGGGGTCGCTAACCCCATGCCCAACCCTCCTCCTTTACCCGGGCTTGGGACCAGCAATAACTCTAGAAAAGCTACAGTCGGAGTTCCTGTGTACTAACATTCATGTATTTAACTATAGATGAGTCTAAAGCATAAAAATATGTATCACCAAAACTAATTAATACACTCAGCCATTTAACCATTATGTTATGTCCTTAACATATACGATTATCACAGTACAATTACCAAATTCAAATACGTTGACTTGTAAGACCAAATTAATGTTGCACACACCAGTACGAGCAGCCTACAGTTTCGATTGATCCTTTTTCCGCCTAGCCTTGCCTGTTGTGTCTAGAACGCCAATCTCAGCCTCCAAGATACGAATAGTATATTTCAAACATATTGAGTTTATAAACAAATAATTCCGACACCATAAAATAGAAAATAACATCTGTACAAGATGAGGCCCAAAAGTGGCTGTGATTGTGAAGGACTGCTACCAATAAGTTGGAAATATCTCAAGAATATTAAATCGTATGATAATAGTCAATAGATCAAAAAAGTCTTATAATGAGAAGAATATGAATATACACATTATATAGTTACTTAATTGTCATAGAATAAGAATATTCGTATAATATCAGTCCACAAATAATTCCTAACGGTTACTGCTTATTCATTCCCGTCCGGATATAACACATTAGACTTCCTGAAGTTTTACTTTGTACATAGTTGAATCATATATTTTATTATATACATTTCGCATAATTACTTTATCAAAATTGTAGAATGGAGTTTCACTTATCTATTGTTAGACCAATCATTCCGTTCCATAAAATAATGAAATAGATGAAAGTAAGTAATCAAGTAAATCAATGGTTTGAGTTCAACTAGCTGAGTAGGAGTAAGTAGCGCTAGTGGAGTTTCAAACGGTTAGAGTACCTTTGTCATCTGGAATCGGCAGCATGATAAATACATTTAGTGAAATATAAAAGTGGCATTTAATTGTATACATTAGCCATAGACATTCTAAATAGTAAGTGTTATGACTTGACCTATCCGTCGCCAATCGTTACGTCTTGATCAAGGCCGTAGCTAACTGTTAGAACCTATTCAAGGTCGTCGCTGATTTGTTATGACCTTACGAATTGAACAAGGACGTAAGTCGCGTAAATTGTCCACCAATAGAATACGACTTTTATGACCTTCACACTGTGACAATGACGTTCGGTTAGCATGAGTAATCTAGCGTCCTTATTGGTCCGTATCCGCCTAACCCATCCACTTGAGTCCAAAAACACCAATAGCAGCTGCTGTAATGCGAATCGTTTATTTCAAACATACTTTGTCTATATACCAAACAGGCAGACCACACCACACCATAAAATAGAAAATAATATTTGTACAAAATCAAGCCAAACGTGGCTGGCAGCGTGGGAGACAGTACTAAATAAACCGAGTATAATTTAGGAACAATAAATCATATAATAATAATCAATAGGTCAAAATGAAGCTAGTAATAAGATGAATATAGACATAGACAATCCAGTTACTGAATAGTTATACCATAGGAATATAAATAGATTAATAGTCTAATAAGAGGTCTCATAAGTTATCAGTACTTACTTTTTTCCTAGTATATAACAGTAAGCGAATTCCTTAACACAGTCAATAATTAATTTTAGATAAAAAGTCGTCATTAACTGTACCTAACTTGCCATTAGACCCATTAATACCTGAGTTTTTTAACGGTGACACTAAAGTAGTCAACAGATTTTGATTTCCTTATTCCTTCACTAGGACAATCAATATTACTGGGTTTTTAAAGTTTTAGACTCATGCAAAAAATCAATTACAAAAATTTTTTTTAAATGAAGTGAAATAATCAGGAAAGCTTTCATTTCCAGTTCAACATTTCAGTAAACCGTTATCACATTTTTCTGCAACCAAATCATGATAAAGATACTTTTTTAAATTTTGCTATTATCTGACTATAAGAAATCAAGTAAGAACCATGAATTTTGTACGATTCTAAAAGGCCTCTTAATCTATGACTCTGGAAATAAACTGAGAAAACACTTCATTAGACTAGTGTACTGATCACTATCTTTACACAATTTCACTCATTATTTCAATCATTTTAAACATCAATTTCTGTAATTTTGCATAGTTGAAATCACGAGTCAATTGAAGCTAGACCACTATGGAAAACCTGGAAGCACTGGACGGTCATTTCGTCTTATTGTGGGACTCCTCAACAGTGCGCATCCACGATCCCACATCACGAGATTCGAACCCAGGGCCTACCAGTCTCGCGCCAGAGCACTTAACCTATAGACCACCGTTATTTTGTTTAAAATCATTAGAAAATTCTATGAAGTATCTTCAAACATCACATTTATTTAAAACAACAAATATACCAATACAAAACATTAATATACATTAAATTACGTAATAATATGACATGAAAATAGAATTCGTACTGAATGGATAAAATATAAATCAACCGTTAGATACACAGGTCTAGTGTATAATCTGAAAACTTGAAAAAAATGTAGATCAACTAGAAAAGTGAATACAGTGAAAACAAATATTTCTCAAAATTGTAATGTAAAGGGGAATCTTTTAAAGTAGTCAATATGATTAAAAGTTAGATTGTAACAAAATGCTTAGTGAGAACACTTTGACAAACATTATTATCCTAGAAAATTTAAGTTGTGTTTATTGAATACGTTGAAGTTGCGTGGAGTGAAGTATCGCGAAACACCTGTGTTATAATTGTATTTTGCTACTAAACAACCCAGCTATTCCTATTGCTTAGTATTCTTATACAATCACACTCGACAAGACCCCAAAATCAGAACACGTTGAACAGGAATGAAATTGTATTCAAAAATAACAATGGTATGTGAACAGCAATCACTAGTTTGAATAACGTTCATATATTTAAGTATATACATAAGAAGCTTCTAGATTTTTCTGCAATAATATGCCCGGGCTTATCGGTTTAGAAATAGCCAATCAGCGTGAAGAAACACCATCATGCATGAAACATGCATACATGCATACATGAAACATCCAATCTATGTCCCACTAACAACCTGCATTTAGTCAGCAATTCAAATATATCTTTACATCTCGTATTTTACTGACGATTATCATACGACAAATAGTACAGTTTCCATGTTTACACCTATGTAGTTCATAGCTTCTCAGTTATGATTATAATAAGACTCTAAGTACGAAATGACTTTTGGTGAGATGAAGATGAAATCTGAAAGAACTTAACACTATTTTAACTGTTCAAAATCTAAAATTCAAAGGAGAGATAAATTAACTGTAAGGAGTTTCTACAGTCATAGTAACCTAAATGTAATTATAAGTCAAAGCATAAGCGATGAACATGAACTTTCATTCACGGATGTTTCTGTAATCATAATATGAAATACAGATATTTATGTTTAACATAAAATTCCAATATATTTTCTTCTATTACTTCTACTTATATTGGTCGCTAATCAATTGCCTTTCTTGCTTCACTTAGTGATAATACACCCACTGAAATCATAGACCTTCAAACTAAATTTATTTTGCATATGATTCAGCTCAGTCAACCACTTTTCTTCACAAACCACAACATATTTGCGTCATTATATGTAGCACTACACCTCCCCACATAATTATTTAAGTGTATTTGTGCTTACACACAAACAATGATTTCACATTTCTTTAGTTAGTACAGTTTTAGAAAAATGATTGTTATTCGCTGAAAAAACACATAACACATTATTATAACAGTATGAATGAACCACTAAGAACAATCAATCTTCAATTGACATGACAACAAAAGTTTCCAATTCATATCAAAATCTGTTTTAAGATGAAAAAATGTGAAAGACTATTACCGTTTGTAAATTTCGTAAATCGTTTAATTTTCACTGTTTCCAAAATGATTTTTCATGAAATACAAATGTTGTCTATATTTTTGCCTACTCGAATTTCAAAGCAAAATATTGAATATTGAATACATTGTATTCTGAAAATAGTCACGTGAAACACATTTGTCAACAAGTTGTTCAGTCTATAATTTTAGTAATGTGGGCGTCACCTCACTGTTTCATATTGTATTCAGATGTATCTTGATGTGAAATTTGGCAAAATAACAGAGTTGTATCAGTCTTGAATTACACAGATTGATGTTGACATTTTGATGTATCCAGTTTGTTAGCGAGAACCAAGATGAAGCTGATTAGGAATTAGATGATGTGATGAAGAGATTTTCACTTTCAAATTTGCACAAGATATTTGTTTACTTCTAGTGCTGTTATTTTCTGAATGATATTCTAATTTGTGTAGTTGTTGTGTAGGACCTTGTGATTTGATGTTTATGTTTTCATATTGAACAAGGTAATTTTATTTTGGACGTATTCAGCATCGTGTGTGTGATTGTATTCTGGATAGAGTTTATTTTTATGATATTATTTGCACATACCTCAAATAAAGCCTCTTAGTGATACTGGAAACATGGTGAATACTAATCACTGAAGCATTTACATCATTCACTTTACATAGATGTAAACTCTCCACTCTTATAAACATACAAACCATGTATAAAGTAGTGAGAAATTCGCTTAATAATATTCCACCTTCAAGTAAGCATTTATGAATTCCGTTGAGTTATTTTGTTGAAGGTTATTTAACGAATAATAATCGATGGGTCTAGTTGTGACTGGTAATTTTTCAAGCCCACATGGGCTATACTAGTTTCAGGACAGACCAATTATTCAAGCCACATGCTAAACTTATCGCTCACTCACTTATCAACCCTAACTGTTTTTAAATTATCGTGTGTATTAATTGCTTGCCCTGATCATTACGTGGTTTTAACTTATTTTTGTCTAACTATAAATATTGTGTAACGCTTCATCAAAATGAGTTGCCTTACTCGCCTTTTCCGTGTTGGTTCGTTGTCCATCCGTTCAACGACATTCTCTGCTTCGCTTAGTTTCTCTGATTTTCCGTCCGGATCAATGAGTGTACGGAATATACGTATTCAAAATTCATTCTCATATCCGACTTATCCCATTCTTCTCTAACGTGAATCCAGTCAATATAAATATACTAGGGTTACCGGCATGTATATTTCGATAATAATCATCAGACTATTTAATTAGCGTCAGACATTGGGCCACTAAACTCAGTTTTATAAAATATTATTATTACTCACAAGTTCTGAATTCTGTTCTTTCAGTGATGATGAGTGTATAAAAGTGTTTTCTATTCTATTACTAAAGTATGACTGGATTACAGCACTTCCTGGTGTTAACTCATTTATTGAAGTTCTTCATTTTTGCTACAGAATGGATTTGGAAGTACTGACCATTAAATAATTCCGTGGCAAAAATAGAGATAACAGTGAATCACAGAATAGTTCTGAATGTTCCAACGTTCCCGATTTTCACTCCATTTCAACATCGAAAACTGATTTATGTTAAAAGGCAATCAGATAGTAAAAACAGTTTTTCTTTATCAAAATTAAAGAGGACTATAATAAATATTCAAATTAAGACAATGATATTAGAAGCAAATGATCATTATTTTGGAAAACTGAATAGAGAACAGAATGGAGAACTATTCAACAGATGTTACATAAGTTACACACCATACTTCATGAAAAGATGATCCATCTCAAGCACACCATAGTTTCACCTCACTTCTTTCCTTTCACACTTAATATATATGTTATTGTCCTTATCCAATTAAACAGTCTCCTATGTATTCACTGAAAAGACTAAGAAATCAGTTGTTAACTCGTCAAGGATTTTCTGATAGTTTTCTAAAATCAATTAAACATTTAGAACTAACAACTACTATTTATTTTTCCTTAGAATTCAGATTTTGTTATCATTATAAGTTTCTTAAATTTGTATTACTTTAAAAGACAGGTAACTCCATATCTGATACATCATTGTTCGAGTCGAGATTTTTCTCATGTAAAATAATAAACGAATAAATGATACCTGTCAATAAAGTCGATTTTACACACAAATCAATTGATATCTCACAATAATTCCAGTTAAGTTATAGTTTGAGATTTGTCATCTAAACAATTTTCTACACATCTGAAGAAATCAGAGTATTTTACTCACTTTCATTGTGTTGCAAGACTATGATATTTAAGATCACGACTCCTTATGCTCTCAATTTCAGATAGTGCACGAGAATAGTATTAATAGCATATACTTTATCATGAATGAACAAACGTAGAAAGACGTGAATTACATTGAAAGACCATTTATAAATTTTATATTTGTTTGCAAAATCAATCAAATTTGTTGGTTATTTCTTCTTGGTATATTTTCTTGATCCTGATCGATATAATTTGGGAAATATTTTTTACTTGCTACGTGCTATCGTTCTGGAGAAAGTATTTCAACATTTGGAAGGTAATTAAACACAAAACTACTTGGCAGTTTTATTAAATATGCTCCATTTTTCAGTCTGTTAGCTAAAACAGATAAAATGGGACATCAATCCTACACATGCCTTAGGAAGACATTAGGTAGAAAAATTCTCTACATATTAATACACTCGAGAAAATCTTAATCATGTGATAAGGTTAACATAGAAAGTTCAACTTCGAGACATAATATTCTTTATGATAAATGTTCAAATCATATTGACATTGTATGTCTAGTGAGTTGTAGTCTGTACTACAGGTACAATAACCAATCAACATTTATTTTTTCGGTTGGCCAATCATCTAAATATGCTTTAAGGTGTAGTGATAACATATGTGTCTCATAAAATCTTGATTAAATTGGTCTGAACAATAATTGTCAGGACGATATACGTCTAAATATAGTTGTCGGATTTAAATTGTTCTACTCCATCATGAAATATACATCACAGATTCTCCTTTTGATCTTGCTGATTATAGTTAATCTACATTGCGGTAAGATAACTTGTTAATGTTTCGCTTAATATATAATGATTATTTTATAAACAATGCAAAGGTATTTCGGTCGACTAAAAGGAATTGAGACAGATTTCTTCTTGACTGATTATAATGACTGATTAAATTCCCTAAACTATCCATCATGTTATCTGCAACTCAATGTAAGTCTGGTGAAGACTGGTTAGCTCGAATAGGATTTTGATCAGCATTCTATTTCTTCAGCGTGTACTTGTTATGCTTGCTAGTAATACCATGAATGCTGTTGATTTGTTCAGTCGATAAACCGTTCATCAAATCATGATTAAGAACAGTCGTTGAAATAGTTTAAACAGACTAACGAAGTTGATAGTACCGTTATGTCTTCTTATCTGATTTCAGGTTTCTCCTTAAGCTGCTATGAATGCTTAAATTGTCCAGATCCATTCATGAATTCATCTCTAGTGCGAACAAAACATGGTTGTGTGTGGTGTGCAGTAAGTGTAATAAATTATTCATTTGTTAAACTTCAATAAGTATATCCTGTTTTTCAAGCTTAACTCAATGAGATTAACTACTGTTGAACTGTTATTCATTAGTGTAGTTGTGACCATTCAAAACAATTTAATTGTTAATTAATCTGAATATCTGGTAATATCTCTATTGTACAAGCATGACTAACTAACAGTTATATAAATGGTGGAAAATTGTCTATTCTACTGTCTCATAAGTAGTATTAAGTTCAAATGAAAGTGAATAGTTAGTTGTTTTCAATCATTTAAGGCTAAAGATAATTTACCAGAGTGTTAGTTGTCCTCAGTTCGATCAGCTGGAATTAATCATCACTGTGAACTACTGATACTTTCAAATGATCTTCAAGTTTGCAGAAACAAATCTGTTTACTTGCACTGTGTAAGAACAAAAATGTTCAAGAAATAATTAAAACTGATTACTGTGATGATGACAACAATATGTGTTCTGATAAAAAGAATATTATTGTAAACACCTTAATTGATGAAATCGATTTGACAATACTCATTTCACATAAACAAATAGACTGTAAGATATGAAAAAACTTTCTACTAGACTCTTAGCTTAATGCTAAATGACTCTGTTGATTATTGTTTCTTATTAATAGAGATAATATTATTTGTGTTGGCATAACGACAGTATATATATTTCACTTCTATCTATTTCATTGTAGAAGCTTCTTGTAGGAGACTATAAAACTCCAATCAGAGAATGTACACCTAACTGCACCTTTCAATTTTGGAGTAAAAAATACCTATCACTATCTTATTATTGTTGTCAAACTAATTATTGTAATACGAGTGTAAAGACATGTATAAATCATCATATGTTAACTGTGATAGTCGTAACACTTACTTGTTTCTTCAGAGTTAAGATGAAGTGAAATTGAGCAAACATTAAAATCTACGCAAATCAATTGTATTTTCTTTTTAGCTTGCTTTCTATGTTTTTTTCGACTCATCCATATATTAAGCATGGGCATTATTTTGTAATTTTTTTTTTATTTTGTAATAACCGAGAACTAATACTTTTTTAGATTTTTACAATTCATTGACACTTTAACTTCATTCTGTTTTTCATTGAAAATAATACTGTAATAAACGGACAAATTTCTTATTTACTTTCACATTTTACTAACGAATTAACAGTGACAGGTACTACACATGCACGAAATCTGATGACATAAGATGACTGCTATTTCAAGATGCAGTGAAATTACTGTCTCAGATCAAAATGACTGTACAAAAGAACTAACATTTGACTCGAAACATGAAGGTTATTTAACAAACTGTTATATCTTGTGGCCGAATGAAAGCTCAGTTAACGTATAACTTGATAAAACCGCCAATCAGAAAGCAGCGAATTATCAATTGGAACAGTGACACACGAAAACCGTACGAGCAGTCTAGAGTGCTATCCTAGCCCAGCCAGTTAAGTCTAGAACATTAATAACAGCTTCTGCGTTATGAATAATTGTATTTCAAACATACTGAGTTTATATATCAAACAGACTGACCACATTGTACCAATAAAATAGAAAATAACATTTGTACAAGAGTTAGCCAAATGTGGCTGAGAATAGGGGGAGCAGTTATTAATAGACTGGGAATAACTCAGGAATGGTAAATCGTACAATAATAGTCCAAGGGTCAAAATAAAGCTCACAATGAAAGGAACATGAATATGAGTAGTTTAATTATTTAACAAATATACGATAAGGAATATATGCATAATATTGGTCCATAAGTGGATGCCAAAGTTACCATTGACTATTGTTATCGGGATATAACACAAACAAGTGAGATCTACGAAGCTATGTAACGTTATGTGAGAAAAATGAAAATGTTTTATTTAATTTCTAATATGAACATCCGTTGGTTCCACTTATTCTGTTCAATCACTTTTCGATTGAACATGACGAATTAAACAGTTCTCAGTATAACTTTAGTTATTTATATGTATTGTTATTGAGTTTGTTCACATCCTAATATTTTCTCATCTCTTCGATTTCTCACATTCTGCTAACAAAACTATCAACTCGAAGTGAGAAAAACAGTTTGATAGTATCTTATATATAAGATGGAACAAAATAACTTTATCACAGCTAGCTACCTTTTAGTCAGTTAACTGTTGAGGTAAATTGGTTTCTTCTGAATATATTTCATTGAAAATTAAAAGGTACAATTTTTCATACAGAAACGTTGACGTGCACCAGTGAAATGAACGGGTCGAAACTACGATTGGTTATTAATTATATGAACTAATCATACAATCTTTCGAGATGTAACATTCGATCATTGGAGATATTTTTCAGTTACTTTAGTAATTGAGCCAACTATCATACTGTATTGGATTAACTATCATTCAGCAACTTCTTTTAAACTTCACCCCTTAAGACTAAACAATTAAATAAAGCAAATGAAACGATTTCACGCTTTCGTACTCCTTAACACTTCCCATATTATTCAACTTGTTGGGATGATCCTGCAAATTTCTCGCAATAAACATGACAAGCTCAGGAAACATTCAGAAGCATTTTATCCAATCGGCGTTTGATTAGAAGTTATCCTAGAAATATCACGAAAATGAAAAGTCACATGTGGAAGTTCTGATTGGTTGATTATTACACTGCTACTATGTTTAGCAGTATTCTAGAATTTTCAGTAAAACCTAAGGACTTCTAAAATACAATAAAAATCTTATATTTTCTGTACATAAATGAACCTGTGGAGTAAATTGCTTTTAGTATGTTTTACACCTTTTCTCTCGTGTTCAAGTCGCTGTGTAGTTCTAGCTTGGGGGTTACGAGACTAGCTTAGGATCCGAGTATAGCTTTCAATCAACATGACTTATCACAACTGCTAACATGAGGCTGAATATTTGTTGATGATAAATTTATACTTCCATGCTAATATATCTGATCCCGTTATTTTACACAAACGATTTTTTAAAAATACAAGCGTTATCAGTATGAATAGTAGATAAATAGAAATCATATTAGTAGGAGTAATTTCAACACAAATTGAAGAACGGTAAAACTACTCGGAAGTCAGTTAGTTATGAACGTTGAAATAACAATTCAACCGTGTATAGTTGCAATTTTTCGAAGATTATCTAATTTGCTGATAGTCTATTGAGTAGTAAGACACTGATTTTTAAAAATCTGAATACTGTTTTTTATTCTTATTAGTCACATAAATATTGATGCTTAGCCTGAATGAGTGGTTTATCGGAATCGCATCGTCATCAGTATAACTGTTTATGAATTTTATACTCCACATTATTTATTTGATTAACGTTGAAAATTAAATCAAACTTCCCGGTTTTAAATTACAGTTACATATGTTTCGATTCGTTGTTCACCATTGTACTTCAAAAGTAAGTGTAGTTTGAGATGGGTCTATTAATGTACTGAGATCTACACGATTTGCAGTAGACTTCTGAATTCTATCCATTAAGTAGGATCCACAACAAATGTACGTTTAAATAGTCAGTTTATTGATCATAACTATGGTCTTAATATGTGAATTGTTGTCGATAGTTCATCTTCATATCTCTGAAATATTCTTTTGCATGTTATATAGAGCCAGACGACGTAACTATTACTTACCGGTTTAGAGCACAGAAGAGATTAATGATAAAACCAGCATTTTTTATTACCCTAAAACTCTTCATTGTAAATAAAACTTTACAGCAAATTAATTGACAACGAATTTATGAGAAACATTGAAGACAACTGAAACTGTGAAATATCCTTTATATCAACTCATGTGGTCATTCGAACTTGATGTACCAGGATCAATTTTGTCGTGAATTAGTTTTTATTTTCAATGACAGAACCAGTTCTTTAGCGGATGTCAGTGACCATTGAATGTCAGTTTGATTTGTGTTACACCTCTGTAACTTGTTTCACTGAATGAGTGCATAAATTTGAAATCAATTTACTTGACACATTGCACATAAGTTGTCATTCATACATCATTTTATAGAACCACATTAGGATACGCATTTAATTCCTTTACATCAAATTTACCCAATTTTGGATAAGAATAAAGGTTTTGTAAATGTTTCCCCTCAAAACTCAACGTTGCACAAGTTTACATCATTTATAAATTGTTAATATCTTAGTTGAGGAATTATCAAGTGATTTCTCTTGTTTTCCACTTTCTATTCTCTACACTTAACATAGAAAAAGAATTGACAAGTACTATATGTTTCTCATTCTCATGATGTCTGATTTCGTATACATGTCATATGATTTCAATTTCACTGAACATTCAAAGTGTTTTCATACTTATAATAAATGTAGTGAAAATTCCCATTTTGACAAATAAAATGGAACGAATCGGGAGAAGTTTCTTTTCACTTAGTTTTTCATCATGGCTCTACACTAATATATATATATATATGATTCACAATAAAGGAATGACACTCATCGAGTAGGTACGTTACGTAATAACTATATAATGATATATCGATTATTACTTGGAATATGGTAGATAAACGTAAAAGCTTTATTCCGTTCAACTTGATGACCTGTGTCCACCAAGTGAGCGAGAATGGAACTCTTCATCACTTTAACTTGTCCTTTGCTCAACCACGACGGATGGTGTTCTGTTATTCGTTGACGAACTTGCCGAATTGCAGCATGGTTTATGAGTTCGTATTTTACACATGGTTGAAGCCATCGCAATCCATGTTCACAAACCGAACCTTTATATACAAAAGAAGTTTGTACAACCACTCTCGCTACCCTGGCTAACGGTATAACGGAGTCTGTAGCAGAACTTGGGTGTAGTGGCCTAAATCTGATTCCTTTTTGATCGTACGTACTGTCTATCCTCGTATGTAATAAATGACTTTATCCGCGTTGGTGAATAACGGAATTAAATACGTCAAATACGAGAATGGATTTAGAATACATATAATTTCTGCACTCATTGGTCTGGCCAGGGAATCAGAGTGATCAGGCGAATAGATGAGAGCGGAACGAAGCAAAGATGATGCATAGTGGAAATGGCTGGGAAGCCAACTCGTTATAAGCAAGCATTAATCAACATTTATAGTCAGACTAAAATGAATGACAGAGATGTGATAGGTAGGATAAGAAGGGTGCATACACATACGCTAATATAAAAAAATAGTCAAGGTCAATAAGCGAATAATTAACAAGATCAAAATATGCCTCATAACGTTATAGGTGAATTGGCTTGTCCAGAAACTAGAATAAGCTATGTAGGTGTAATATAGTACACGACGTTACACTACTCCCCACATAGGTAAACAATTATCTTATTTCTTCCATTTTTGTATTTTACTTATTCTTTACGTTCGTCTCTTGATTCTTACATAACTACCATATTACTGAACATTCATCAAAATATTTTGTTAGTTCTTTCTTCTCCTTTTACATATCGTGCAACGTAGCAACAGCTTGATTTTCGAATAATTACTTTGATTAGTATTAATCGTCTTAGAGACTGACCAGTTGCAGTCCTAACACATCGATAGGAAGATTCAAACAAACAATACTAAATGAATTAATCCTCTTTCTTCCAATTAATAATCGATATGTCATTATATAATGCTTTTTTTAACATAATTTTTAGAAATAGATAAGTTTTTGTGGTTTATTGATGAAGAAAACTTGTACTTCGCATGAATGCTGATAGTGTTGTTGTTTTCTGTCACCTAAATCAATCAATTATTGGTCTTTGATTGTTGTTCTAGATGTCTGTCTAGTATTGTGTATAAACACATTATAGTTATGTAGTATTGGAAAATTCAAAGAAGAGAGTGATAAATAATTTACAAAAAAGTTTCAGTGAAAGTATCTGTCATAAACTGTAGGCTACTTGTTATAATGCTAGGTTACTTGTTATA